CTTGTCTGTTCATCATTAAATCCTACTGCTGCTGCAGAGTATATATAAATAAAGAGAAACTAGTAGAAGGTAGTTCTGGATGGACAGAAGGAGACAGGAGGAAGAGGAGGTAGAGTAGAGGACAGGGAGAGTAGGTCGAGGTGAGTAGGAAAGAGAGAAAGAGGAGTAGAGGAGAGTAGATGATAGCTCTGCATGCAGTGTGATCTGATTAACATGGCAGAACGGATCCTCCTGTCTCTCAGTCCGTCTCTAATAAACCTTCATTGTATGAGGGAGGATTTCTCTTTCCCTCATTTCTTCGCTTAACTCAACCTATCTTCACCTCTTGCTATCCTATTCTCTCTCTCTCTCATTCTCTCTGTCTCCCTCTTTCTTTCTCTAAGCCTCATATTTCTCCACATATTCATCCTCTCTTCCTTCCATCCTCTCAGCCAGGAGAAAGAGAGGAAGCAGAAAGAGATTAAATATGAAGGGAGTTGAGGAGAGGAAAGAAAAGAGGATAGATAGACACAGAGAGATACCATTTGCATATATCTGCATCTGCATATAATTCTTTCAGCAAACCAGGTCTCCCTCTCTTTTCCCCCTCTCTCCCCTTCTCTCTCTCTTCCTCGGAGGGCGGATGTTCAGTAGACCGTTGAGGGGTTAACGGGACCATAGAGAATGTCAATGTTATTCCTGTTTTTCCTGTGAGCTGGATAGAGGAAAGGCTCTCCCCCTTTTAGGAAAGGGAAATAGGGAAGGGTTTTTGGGAATGAATCCATTGGGACCCAAAACCATCAGACAGCTCCAATACATCTACCTGGTAACCACCACTGACAGGCCTACCTTTACCTCTCACAGCCTTCCAGGGTTATTAAGATAAGTTATGAGGTTGTCCCTGTTTCAGCCCCAGTAGTGGCTCCAGTCCTCCTCTCCCTCACGCCATCCCCTCCCACTCCTCCCTCCTCCCCCTTCTGTCTCCCTGTCTCAGCCCCAGCTTTACTGTAGACTGTGTAATGGCCTGTGGTGCTGATGATAATTATTAACACAGGTCTGTCTGGTCTATGGTAGGGGATGGGCAACAGGGGGCCAGCAGACCAAAACCGCCCCGCGAGTGATTTTTTAAACTCTGACTCTCTCATCTACACACACACACGCCTCACACACACGCCTTATCAGGTAATCATGCTTATCTTTATAGTGCTGCTGTTCATGATAACATTTTGTCGCATCACATACGCTGCTGCTACTGTTTATCATCTATCCTGTTGCCTAGTCACTTTATTCCTAGTTATATGTACATATCTACCTCAATTACCTCGTACTCCTGCACACCGACTCAGTACTGTTACCCATATAGCCAAGTTATTGTTACTCATTGTATATTTATTATTACTTTTATTATTACGTGTTATTACTTTTCTATTATTTCTCTATTTTCTTTCTCTCTGCATTGTTGTAAAGGCCCCATATGTAAGTGTTTCACTGTTAGTCTACACTTGTTGTTTACGAAGCATGTGACAAATAAAATTGATTTGATATCCTCTGTTCAGGAGAGGATGCTGCTACTGTTTTCTAGGCAGCAATATCAGTCTCTCTCTGGGATCTTCACCCCACCCTCACTAAGAAAAGGGGAGCGAGCCTTACCCAAAGCACGAAGAAACAAAAGATGAGAACAGAGAATCTGCAACTTCCTACTGAAGGACCATCCACTCCCCTCCCCTCCCTCCCTCCCCTCCTCCTCCCTCCCTCGCGCTCTCCCACTCTCTCACTCTCTCACTCTCTCTCTCTCTCCCTCGCCCACCCCCTCTCATAGTTCCCCCATAACAGACATAACTGTGCTGTCTGTCTCTCCACATCTCCTCTAATTGGTTATTTATAGCCAGGAGGGTGTGGCCAGTCAGGTCTAATGACTATTGTTGCCGTGGCCACTGGTTAATGAGAAACTGTCTCTGTAGAGGTCTGAGACTGAACCAAAATGCTCATTACTACAATTATACACTGTAGAACACTACAACATGAGAGAGAGAGAGAGAGAGAGAGAGAGAGAGAGAGCGAGAGAGAGAGAGAGAGAGAGAGAGAGAGAGAGAGTTTATTTATACAGTATATTATCTACTGTATATTGGCTGGTATTTCTAATTGTGGCTATTACCATCATTCGTTTATAGCAGCCATACTCAACTGGCGGACTGTGGTCTGGATCCAGACCCAGAACGGGGTCAATACGGACCGCGGGGGTCAATACATGTACAGTACTCAGTCGAGCTTTCAATTTACTGCTGTTGAGAGTTGTAATAGTACAATGCACAAGGTGGAACTTTGAAATTTGGTAGTGCATGGGCAGTTTTTCTCTTGTTATGTCATTCACTTACAGACCTTAGAGAGCTATCTATAACCTGTCAGAAATGTCCAGTTGATCAACTACTAGCCCATGTTACCTAGATAGGTAAGTTAGGTTAACCAGCTATCTAAATCCTGTATTTATCATGGCCAGATTATGTGCCCAGGGGCCTCGACCCCCAGGGCGCCCCCATTGATTTTGTTGAGTCACTCAGGTATCATATGAACACACATAATACATGGCAACATGTAGAATGACAGGAAATGAGCTTTAAAATGGCAACATTTTATCTCCGCCAACAAGAGGGGTGTGAACAGTTTGAACAGTTTGGGGTCGCATTGGTTGCGAGGTGGGTGTTTGTTACTATTCCGATAAATGACAAATCCATCCGGACCTTTGCCACCAGGAAATTTGTGTGACCGTATCTTCTCTAATAGTAGCTGAGTACCCCTGGTTTATAGCTACTGTAGATAGCTCTTTCTCTTGCGCTCTCTCTCTCTCTCTCTCTCTCTCTCTCTCTCTCTCTCTCTCTCTCTCTCTCTCTCTCTCTCTCTCTCTCTCTCTCTCTCTCTCTCTCTCTCTCTCTCTATCCAGAGTCTTTCTGTGTAGCAGTATCCTTGTGTAGGTGTAGCTCTTTTTTATGTGTGTGTCCATGCTTGCAGTGTGCATGCTTGTAGTGTGCTTGTTGTGTGTGTGTGTGTGTGTGTGTGTGTCTGTCTGTGAGTGAGTGAGTGAGTGAGTGAGTGAGTGAGTGAGTGAGTGAGTGAGTGAGTGAGTGAGTGAGTGAGTGAGTGATGCTGTGCTGTCAGTGAGTGTAGCCAGGCAGAGACACGCAAATGCTTAACCCCAGGGTGGGGTTCTTTCTCTAAATATCCGTACCACATGCACATGGCAGCACTGTGTCTGCCACTGTCTTTTCTCTTTATATTTCTCTCCCTCTTTCTCCTTTTCTGTCTTTCATTATTTCTTGTTCTCTCGCATGCTCTCTCCTCCCTCATTCCCCCTAGCCCTCTCCTTCTCTTTTTCTCTCCGTTTTTTCTACTTTCTGCTCTCTCTCTCTGTCTGACTTCCTCTCCGCCTCTCTTTACAACAGTTAGTGTTCTGACAAGGTCTTAGCCTGAAGTCTTCAATGATGCGTCTTTTTCCGTGTTCAGTGGCTTTGGATGGACGTGTGATGTCATCGTGACAGAGGCTAAAACATAGACATCCTTACTATATTTAACTTTGTTGAAGACTATGATTAGTTGATTAGTTGAATCAGCTGTTTTACTGCTTTTAGATTAAGCAAAAGCTTGCACCCACACTGGCCCTCGCAGAGTAAGATAGTCTTTGTTTTAAACAAAGAGTGATACCCCACCTTGATATTGTGGTACAGTTCTCTACTCATTCCTGTGACTCTGCAGTGGGAGTGTAGATCGGGGAGAGAGATTATACACACCTGCACTGTCAGCAACACTTACACATCTGTCACTCTCAGACGACCCCCGTCCCTCACCTCCACTCTCCTGAGCAGTGTCAGTCAAAGCGTTGAGTCACTGCAGTAAATCAATAGCTATTAGAATACACAGTCACATTCAGCTTAACATACAACCTGTACATACACAAACAGAATCACACACACTCTGACTCCATACACACACACACACAAACACACCATACTAACCCTACCTATGTGTCTGTGTGTTTCCCTGCAGCCCAAACTAATGGCCAAGGACCTGTTGGATCTGGTGGCCTCCCACTTCAACCTGAAGGAGAAGGAATATTTTGGCATCTCCTACACAGATGAAACGTAAGTCCTTCTGGTTCACTACTATCACCACGTATGTAGTCCTGTCCTGGTCCTGGGGATATATGTGATGTGCAGGGTTTTGTTCCAGCCCAGCACTTACACACCTCTAACGGGATGTAACTACACCCTACCCTGTTTATCATAAAAGGAGAAATGTATGTTTAAAATGTAAGGATGACATTTGATGATATTTTGGGAGTGAGGATATGAGCCCAGAGGATGACAGATTAAAGTATTGTTATAAACTGGGTGGTTTGAGCCTTGAATGCTGATTGGCTGACAGCCTTGGTATATCAGACCGTATACCACGGTATGACAAAACATTTATTTTTACTGCTCTAATTACGTTGGTAACCAGTTTATAATAGCAAAAAGGCACCTCTGGGGTTTGTGATATATGGCCAATATACTACGGCTAAGGGCTGTATCAAGGCACTCCACGTTGCGTCGTGTGTAAGAACAGCCCTTAGTCGTGGTATATTGACCATATACCACACCTCCTCAGGCCTTATTGCTTAAATATACAACTTTTATTTCCAGTCATACACTCTTGTCCCAGCCTGCTATTCCCTTGAATACTGTTTGTTATTGATTTTAGTCATTTAGCAGACAATCTTATCCAGAGCGACTTACAGTTTAGTGAGTGCATACATTTTTCATACTGCCCCCCACCCCCCCCCCCAATCGAACCCACAACCCTGGCGTTGCAAGCGTACAAGTACAATTCATTTAGTTGCAGTATTATTACATTCTAGTGAAGTTATTGAATCTACTTATTTACATTTACATTTGTTTTAATTCATGTCAGTTCTGTAGTGTACTATGTCTGCCTCCTCATTGGTTGGGTGTGCAGTATGCTGACAGTTGATTGGTTGTTGTGTCTCCAGGGGTCATTTCAGCTGGCTGCAGTTGGACCGAAGGGTTCTAGAACACGAGTTCCCCAAGAAGTCTGGACCCATCGTACTCTACTTCTGTGTCAGGTATGGTCACATCATAGAAAAACACACACACAAGCACAGCTCCTACAGCAGGCACACAGACATGCACACAGTCAGACAGACGTCTGCACACACACACTACCTTGGCTCTGTGAAAAAGGCAGATAATAACTCTATAATACTATAAGAGAACACCATTCATAATTCAGTGATAGTTGTCTAGCTATTGTATATGATCTTCAGTGTATCTGTGTGTGTCAGGTGTATAAGATGTTGTCTCCCTGTAAAGTGGAGCTCCTGCTGTGATCTAACCCATAGTAGCAGGGTTATAAAACCATTCCTTTCTCCTGCCAGTGCCTTTGTACTGCTCTGACAATGGCTGCTCTCTTACATAACACACATCCTGAGGTTGACTGAGTGTGTGTGTGTGTGCATGTGTGTGTGCTCGCATGTGTGCGTGTTTGTGTCTACATTAAGTCATTGTAGTTGGAAGAAAAGGTACAGGATCTGAAGATAATGTGTCTGACCTTTCTTTGCAGCTGTGGAAAGGCTACACAAACACACACACACACACAATGCTGAACAGTGTTGGTCAGTACCTTAAAGGTCCCTATGATGACAATAGGCTCCAGGGACTTGTCATTCCTTAGCAACGTACATAGCAACCTGCATTGGAGACACTCAATAGATGAATAGTTGTTTGTACTGATTGGCATTAACGATAAGTGTCTCCAAAAGGGTGTGTGGTAATGACGTCATTTCAACCTACCATAATAGTTTTGATGTGTATGGGTATTGTATTGTTGCATGGGGTGTATTGTTCACATAACAGATCACTATCAAATACATGGCCTTGTGTTCAGGGTTAGCCATCAGTACGGATACAATATAATAACTATTGTGATTACTTCTGTTATAGCCAGCCACTAATAACATATCCAGTCACTCCACATGCCCACACATAAATACACACACACATTCAAATGCTTATTAATACAATGCATTTATACACACCACATACTCACACACACACACAAACATCCTGATACACAGTTAACACAGAGACAGACTGATGAAACTGCAATCAGTCTAAATGTCAGAGCTGAATCCATTGTCAGACTTCACTGCCCAGAGCAGCCGAGTGTGTGTGTGTGTGTGTGTGCTTTCGTGCCTTAATGCTTTCGTGCACTGTGCTTGTGCATTGGTTTCATAGCATGTGTGTGCATGTTTCGGAAGCAGTAGCTATAACAACTCCCACCCTCTCTATATATAGACTACATTATAATGTTACAGTAGCTCCCATCTCACTATTGATGGCTACTGTGTTTCTCTGCCTGCACACTGCTGATGATGCAGCCAGCCAGCCAGCTAGCGATTGTGTGAAATGCATCGTGTGCACATTTGCGATGGGGGTGTGTTTGTGTAGATGATGTGTCTGTGTTTGTGCATCAGTGTTTGTGTGTGCGTGCGTGCGTGTGTGTTGGATGGTTGCCATTGATCAGACAGAGAAGGGTATAGGAACTGTGTGTGGAAGCCTAATGTCTGATGACCCCTAGTGGACACTCTGTTCACTGCAGTTCTGCCACACATAGTAGCCTGGAACTAGATTGAATTAGCTTCTTTTCTCTTTAATCTGTTTCCAAGATACAATACATCTAAACTCATTGTGTCATGGTCTGTTATACTGTACTGTGTTTTATGTTCTGTTCATTACAGGTTTTAGAGAGTATTTCCTGCCTGATCAACTAAAGTAATGTGTCCTGTTGTCTATGTGTTACAGGTTTTACATAGAGAGTATTTCCTACCTGAAGGACAATGCTACTATTGAACTCTTCTTCCTCAATGCTAAGTCCTGCATATACAAGGTAAGTTCATCATGGCCTGTAGTTCACATGCTTAGATATGCTTAGATATAGCATGCCAATATAAATATACTGTATGGTGTTGTTCTGCTATGTGTTAGATCAGTAAGTGTCTGTCTGTGTGTATTCTCATTGATGATTAATCTTCAAGTAGTGGATTTTATTTTCCAGTCATGTCATCATTTCACCACCAGAGGGTACATGTGGGCTGTTGGGTCGTCAGTGTGACGCTTGAACAGTAAAACCACTCTCTGTCTCCTCTCTGCTCCATTCATCCTGTTAGAAACAGATATAGCATTAGCTAAGCTTATGCTATCTCCAGCTCCAAAAGTGTTAACCAGCCTCTGCTGACAAATGCATCCACTGGTAGCGAAGCTTCTGCTAACACTCCAGCAACACCCATAGCTTTTCCTAATACATACCCAGCACTGATATCTTAGTGTATGCTAACACAGCCAATACTTGACACCTAAGACTAGGCTGTTTAGAAAGGGAGGCTGGAACACTCTCACGGTCCAACAGACTCTAGTGAAGTGAGGGTTGTCTGTGAAGTCTACATACACACTCCAATTGACCAAAACAGCAATATTTTTCCTTGATGCACACATGGACACAATGACACAAAAATACACTTTTTCAACATAACACAGATTTTGTAAATGTTAATCATGGATACGTTTAAGACATTAGAATTGTGTTGTGGATATAGAGTCATTTTTAATGCAGTCATCTCCTGTCTGCATGTATGGAGTGTGTGTTCTACACTGGACCACACACACATACACACACACACTGCTAGGCCGCAGCCCCATGGTGAGAGCCCATGCTGGGTGGTAGTGTATTCAGTGTTGTGTTTCACTCTGCTGTCTGATCTCTTAACCAATTAACTGCCAGGGATCGTATAGAGGACATTCCTTACATACCTGACCCCTTTAGTCACTACTCATCAACTAACACACACAAACACACACACACACACTTCCCTCAGACCCCCTTCTGTGTGTGTGAGTAGGCCCTGTCCCAGCATTGCTCATCTAAGTAAACAGGATGGAGAGACAAAGAGAAAGACAGAGAGAATTAAAGAGACCTTTAAGGAAATTGTTCTGTTAGTCACCACTGCATTCCCTCATTTTCTCTGCCCACATAAGTCCCATCACACTGTAATTTCTGAGCTGAAGCAGAGCACACAACCCCCCATGAAGAAAGGGAAAGAAATCAGGGAGGGGGAGGAAGGGAGTGAGGGAGGTTTAGATGAAAAAATTAAAACAGCAATGGAGAAAAGAGAGTACTGGGGACAATGTGATAGAAACGTGTGTATCCTGTATGAATATGTTTTTCAGTGTTGTATTAGTAGTGTAGGTACATCATAACATCGTGGTCATAGGATAAATCTGATGTATGAAAATGTGCCCCTCACAGCTCCCCACATAGGGAAAGTAATGGATACATTGGATTGGTTTTATTAGCCGTGCAAGTCACATAATAACCATGATCTAATGCTTCCCCCCCCCCTCTCTCTCTCTCTATCTCTCTCTCTCGCTCTCTCCCTCTTTCTCCAAGGAGCTCATTGAGGTGGACAGTGAGGTGGTTTTTGAGCTGGCCTCCTATATCCTACAGGTAAGTCAGTGTTACACTAGCTTTGACCAACTTACATTCGAAGAATCAGACATCAATTATTTTTGGAATGGGCTCCCATGCCTAGTTCCAGGGAGTGAGTATGTATATTGGCCAGGGAGTGTGTAGGGTTCCCCCTCAGTTTAGGTCAGCCCATTACCTCAGTTCCAGCTAACACAGAGACTATGGAGTGTGTGTATGTGTGTGTGTGTGTGTGTGTGTGTGCGTTATTGCGTGTGTGTGTGCAGGTGCAGAGGTATCAGGTATCTCTTGGCCTTTAGAGGTTTTGCTCCAGATGGAAGGATAACGTTTCTCTCTGATTTCATCACAGGAGACCTGACCCTACTCTCACCTGCCTGCACACACACACACACACACACACACACACACACACACACACACACACACACACACACACACACACACTACTTGTCCCACAAAAGCCAGCGTTCACCCCTCCATAATACTGTAAATGTCTAACTATTTCTCTCTCTTTCTCTTTTCTCTCTCCAGGAGGCTAAAGGTGACTTCACCAGGTAAGAACAGTTATTATGTATTTATACTACAGTAAGCTGTATACATATAATATACTTTATAATAACTAATATCCAACAGCCTCAGACCTATTGTCTCTGTCTCAGTGGGGAGTAGAGCGGTTGTGGCCCACATGTTTGTTTGGTTTTTGGGTGAGGGGATGGTGGGATAGGTGTGTGTGTGTGTGTGTGTTTGTGTGACAGGAGAACAATAGCACCCATGTAGGGGGTCTGTCCTAGGTCCTCTGAGCCCCACAGAGCAGCGAAGCAAATCCGCTGACACGCCCCTCCCTCTCCTCTCACAGGACCTGCCTTTGTCTGCCTGTCCTCCGACGCTCTATCCCTCTCAAACTCTCCTCTCATCCCCCAGTCCCCTGATTCACTCACTCCATCCAGACTGAAGAGTCTGTCTTTAGATAGGGTCACTGGAGCATATTTCTTTGTGTGTGTGTGTGTGTGTGTGTGTGTGTGTGTGTGTGTGTGTGTGTGTGTGTGTGTGTGTGTGTGTGTGTGTGTGTGTGTGTGTGTGTGTGTGTGTGTGTGTGTGTGTGTGTATGGATGGATGGATGGATGTATGTATGTATGTATGTATGTGTGTGTGAGTGAGTGACAGGGCTCCACAGTGCATGACTCCTAACCAATTAAGAACAGAGCAGTGAGACTAAGGCCAGGGTAGTTAAGACCTCAGCTCTGCAGCTCACGTGATGAGCCTTCTGCCCCCTAAAACAGCTTACCCTCTATTGGTTTACACTTCTATGGTGTAGAGAGATGCTAGCTTACATTTAGGCAGGCTTGAGATGTCGTTTACAAAATGCCATGTGTTGCAATATATTTCCTGCTCCATTGTGTAACCTGGTATCATGCTACTATGTTCCTTTAAATAAAGATGAATTGGATGTCTTCACGGTTAAAGGAAACATGGTCTTTATATCTTAGAGCAGTACAGAATAAGGATTCTTCGTCAGTTTGTGAGCGTTGAGGCCAGTGTAGATGAGAGAGTCGAACAGCGTTCACCTTTGACCCCATTTCCTCCTCCTCACAGGAACATAAATAAACATGGCATCCCACTGAGCTCTGGAATGTGTAACATATTACGCTATATATTGCACTAACATTGTAAGCGTTTATGTTACTTGTTGTCCATCCAATTTTTTGCTACTCCATTGCTGGTGAAGGCTGCTGGGGCTGTGGCGTCCAGATCGGGTGGTAAGGGTTGGGATTGAGAACCATTGCTCTAGCCCACATGAAAAAAACTATAGTATTATGGTTAAATACCATAGTATTCACTCTAGTGTTTTTGCAGACTTTTCTGTATTATTCACTGTAGTGTTTTTGCATACTGTAGTGTTTTTGCGGTCTGTAGTATACTGTAGTATGTACTATAGTATTCTATAATATACTACTAAATTCTATAGTAAGTACTACACATGATCGAGGTATACTACAGTGTGTAGTATAGCATTCTACAGTATACTATTGTTTACTACAGAATTATATAGTAAGTACTGTAGTATTCTATAGTAAACTGTAGTATTTTTTGATATGGGAGAGCAGGCGTTAGCTGGCTATTATATTTTCAGTATTGGCTGTCATGTTTCCAGGCCTTTCCCCCAGTCTCAGGGGGCTGGGAGGTTTAGGGAATTACAGAGGGGTTTAAGACTGAGAGTCTGAAGTCTAGGGTCTCTCTCTCTCTCTCTCTCTCTCTCTCTCTCTCTCTCTCTCTCTCTCTCTCTCCAGTTGTTCCCAGCTGTGTGACTGTCTCATCAGTCCCCCTGAAACACAGCAGGGCAGCATTAGTTCCCCCCACCCTGTCAGTTACTAACTCTTGCCCCCAACCCATAGATTATTCATTGGTAAATACCCTTAGATTAAAGTTAATACATCATTGTAGTAGACAAACATCACAATATTGGAGACACCTTTGGATTGGTTTATATCGCTAATGCCAATCTGTCTCCAACACCTCTTGGCAGTTTGAATTCAGTGTGTGTTCACAGTAATGACGTGTGTTTCTGTGTGTGTCACAGTAACGACATGACGAGGTCAGACCTGAAGAAGCTTCCAGCTCTGCCGACTCAGGCCCTGAAGGAACACCCATCTCTGGCCTACTGGTGAGTCCCAGCCTGTCTTATTGGCCCTGATGACCAGGGCCACCAAAACTCTACTGCCTGGTTGCCCGACCTGGCTGCCTGTTTGATATGATTAAGTGGCATGTTGTGTATGTTTTCTGTTCCAGTGAGGACCGGGTGATAGAACACTACAAGAAGCTCAATGGACAGTCCAGAGGGCAGGCCATAGTCAAGTAAGACTGGAGAGGGGAAGGGTGTGTGTGTGTTACTTATGTGTCTCATATTCTCTCCCCCTTGAGCTGTGTGTGTTCATCTCTCACACATGCTTGGTGTCTACTGCGTGTGTATCCATATGTTTGTGAGTGTGTGTGTTTTTATGATGCTCTCTCTTCAGTAGTTGATGTGAAGATGAACATTGTGACTGACTAATGTCTGTCTCTCTGTCTGTCTTAGTTATATGAGCATCGTTGAGTCCCTGCCTACATATGGAGTACATTACTACACTGTTAAGGTACAACTTTATCACTTACACTCTCTCTCTTGGGGTTGGGGTTGGGGGCTGAGTGGGTGGGTGAGGGAGTGTTTGGGAGGAGGGTTTGGGGGGCTATGAATACACACACCCTCTGATGTGTGTATCCTCTCTCTGTGTGTGTCAGGATAAACAGGGCATCCCGTGGTGGCTGGGGCTGAGTTATAAAGGAATCTTCCAGTATGACTACCAGGACAAGGTCAAACCCAGGAAGGTAAGACGCCAACTTTCATTCTCTTTCTCTCCCTCTCGCTCCATTATGTCTGTCTTTTATAAAGATGTAACACTGTCCTCCCATCAGTCTCCCTGTAGTCTGTTAAAGCCTTTCACCTCTCACCTTTGACCCTAGAAAAGACTAGTATCATTCATCTCCTGGCTGGATGAACCGACACACACACACTCCCATACGTGAACTCTGACCCCTCAGTCCTGACAAAGACTTCCTGTCTGCTTCAGCTTTCCTGTTTGCCCGTCCTGTTCTAGTGTGTGTATGTGTGTGTGTGTGTGTGTTTGCACATTCCAGTCTAAATGTCTCACCACTGTTCTCCCCACATTCCTGCTCTATCCCATAATAGTCCCAGATCCTGAGGTTTCAAAGGTTACATCACCATGGAGACAGAATGGGAATGCTAGCCTAGTCTCCTATTCTAGGTCACAGGAATGATTTGGTGGTTTGAGTTAGCTTCCAATGTTAGTATCAAGTAGAAAGGTGCTCTTTGGAAACGATGGCCCTCTTGGATCCTTCATAGGATGTTTTCTCCCCATATCTGCCCATTTGTAGATGTAAACACACACACACACACACACACACACACACACACACACACTGAAAGGCAGTGGGCCGTGCCAGGTTGAAAGTGGTCTGTACTACAATAGAGTGAATGTGTTCCGAGGGTTCAGAGGGGAGGTAGAATGAAGGGAGGTTCAGGACTTCATGTTTTGGCTTCTCATCAACACACTAATGGTATCTACGCATGCAGCGCTCTGAAAACAAAGAGAGAGGGAGGGCACTTTAAAGATGACTATTAATGTATTTAATAACTGTCTTTAATAACTGTCTTTAATAACTCCAGAGTTGGTTTCAAAGAAGGTTGAGACCTAGTCAAAAGCTGTGTGTAGAGGCTGCACATTAGGTTACCAGAGAAGGCCACTATCATTGTGTCAAATAAGGTTTTCAGTGTTTAGTTAAGGCTGTTTTTGTTTAGAGTTTTACCTCAGGAATACGTTGTCTGTGTGTGTGGCAGCTGCATATTTATCAGTAGAGTTTTACTAGTGGACATCCTGTAGTGACTAGACCACCACTGTAAGGCTTTCTGACTGTTTATTTGGGTTTGTTTAAATACTTTACCCCTAACCCCACTTCCCCTTTCACACACACACGCACTAACACACACACACACACACACACACACACACACACACACACACACACACACACACACACACACACACACACACACACACACACACACACACACACACACACAGTTACAGTTCAACCACAGCCAGTAAAAATGCCTTGTTAGTGAGTTGTGAGACACTTTAGGGTTTGTGAGTGACTGAGGCAGATGCTGATGGTTTAGTAACAGTGTGAAGCTCCAGTAGTGTGTGTCATGTTGACTGATTTTGAAATTGCTTGACAGAGATTAAGCCTATGTCTCTGCTAGCTAGTGTGTTGCCAGGTCAGATAAGTATATGAAGGTATGAAACAGTGATGAGTAATGAGTGAGGAGTGTGTTTTGGTGTGCAAACGCCCCTCCTAACCTCAATCCCTCCAACACACATATTTGTTAAAAAAAACTATGACCAAAACAAAAACAACAGGAAGCCATGGGCAGGTCTCCATAGTGACTATAGAACACCCTGGAAACATTTAAATCCCCCACCCTAACCGTCCTCCACCTTTCTGAGGGAGGGACTCAGAAACATGGAGAGGGACAGGGAAGGGAACCAGTGATGGTAAGTCGGTCCCCTTGTAAAGCCCCTCTAGACCCCTCCTAGTCCCCAGACTGGCTCCTAGTCCTAGCCGACTGCTACTGTTTACAGGTCCAGCTCTGCTCTGCTCTGCCCTATGATAGAATAGACCTTGGCTTCACTCCAGACCATTCTATTCTTTAGACAATCCCATGGGTATCCCCTAGGGACTTCAAGCTTTCTCAGACATTACCTTTTCTTTGTACACATACAGTATACACACACAAACACACACACACACTGGCCTAACAGTGGACACACCCTTTGCCATTATCAGTGCTGTATAGAAAAAGTGTCACCATGTTTGTATCTGATATTGTTTTTCAGATTATTCAAAGTTTCTCTAAAGCTGTTACTAAATACACACCACTTATATAACTCCTGTCATTTGTTAGTGTGGACAAAATGGTCACTTAATCACAACCCTTAACTCCTTTCATATTGAAACTGGTTTAATTCCTCATTGTGTTGTGCTGTACATGTTGCTACATGTTGAAGTACCCTTCCTGGAAAATGTGACTGTGGTCTGCAGTAATGTTCTATGGTCCATTGACTGATTACTAAAGCCTGATATGAGGGAAGATGAAAGCGATGGTTTGTGCCAGCTGGTGGCCAACCTTGGTCTTGGAGACACACGGGGTATACAGGCTTTAGTCTCTTCCCTGCACTAACAAACCTGATCACACTAATTGAATACCACAACAGGTACTGGGATGTATGTGAAACTAGTGCCAGTGTTGTCTGATGTGAAACTAGTGCCAGTGTTGCCAGTGTTGTCTGATGTGAAACTAGTGCCAGTGTTTCCAGTGTTGTCTGATGTGACACGAGTGGCAGTGTTGAGTTGACAAGATGGGGTCCACCCTCCAACCTAGTTACGAGGGAACATGTGTGTGTTAAGCACTCTCGTGCTGGAAAACTGTTGCACACACTCTCCCTATCTGTAATCACACACATACACATACACCCTCTCTCCCTATCTCCCTCCTATTCTTAGCACCATGCTACATTAAGTGTTCATACTCCATTGAGTGTACAGTACACCGAGCGTAACTGCACTGATTATCTCACACGTAAACGCACACACACGCTCACACACACTCTTAGTCCCAACGCTGTGTTTATATATTCGTTTTTTCTCCATCAGATCCCCCTCCTCTCCTCTGTTCCTCTTATCCCTCTCTCTCCATTATTTTCCCAGGCTGTTATGATTCCTGGGCTGTGCCCCTTCGTCTTCTTCTTCGTCCCTCCTCTCCACTCTCTTCCTCCCTCCTCTCCACTCTCTTCCTCCCTCCTCTCCACTCTCTCCTGTCCTCCCTCACCCTGCCAGTTAAACTTTGTTTTCTCCTGTTGTTCTGTACAGAGTTCACGTGTTTTACCGTTTTCTTAAATCATCTCACTGCCATTACATCTCTACCACCACCATTGTTGGTGTGTGCTGTTTGTGTGTCTCTATGTGTGTATGTGTCCCAGCTGCTAGTGCTGTAATGTCTCCAGTGTAACAGTAACTGCTGTGACTCTGCTCTCTGTGTAATGAGAAACAGACCTCGTGAGGCAATGTGTGTGTGTGTGTGTGTATGTGTGTGTGTGAAGAGGGGGGCTGGCTGGCTGACTAACAAAGCAAAAGTGCTCTGTTTGGTGGGGCCACAGTAATCCTCTCCCCATTCACCCTCCCTCCCTTCCCCCACCCCCTCCCTTTCTCCCAGCCACAGAGCCCAGAGCAGGAAGTGTACTCCTCGAGGGAGAGAGGAAGGGTCAGGGGGAGGGAGGGGAGGGTCTTAGCCTGGCTACAGTAGAGGAGGAAACTTTATTTCACACACATACACTCTCCCACACACACACACACACTCGCTCACTTACCTACAGCTGGTAAACACCCGCCGACTCAGAACTTTCTGTTCCCCTGCACCTGGAGAGGATTTAACACACACACACACACACGTACACACGCGTACACAGACACACATATTGAGGAGACTTTCTCACCCAGCGAGGCTTGGTTTTATTTAAAGAGGAGCTGATGGTTTGTAAAGAGGATGGAAAGAAGGGAAGAGAAAAAAGGCGAGCGGAGGAGAGAAAGCCCTCTCTCTCTCTCTCTCTCTCTCTCTCTCTCTCTCTCTCTCTCTCTCTCTCTCTCTCTCTCTCTCTCGGGGGTGAGGTCATTCAGCTGGGGGAAGAGTTCTGGACGAGACCGCTGGGTCTGGATCTAATCAGAGACCCTTACCTCATGTCCTCCCTCTTTCCTCTCCTCCCTCACTCCTCCTCACTCCTCTCCTATTCTTTCTGTTTTTGAGGTGTTGCAAAACCAATCTTAACTCTCAGTGGCTGTACAGGGAAGTCATATCCAGCCGGCAGTGGGTGTTTCTGCCTTCTCAAGCTTGTGTGTCTGTTTGTATCTCAGTTTGAAGTCTGTGAGCCTCTTTCAGTTCTAAAGTGTGTGTGTGTGTGTGTGTGTGTGTGTGTGTGTGTGTGTGTGTGTGTGTGTGTGTGTGTGTGTGTGTGTGTGTGTGTGTGTGTGTGTGTGTGTGTGTGTCCGTCCTCAGGTGTTCCAATGGCGTCAGCTGGAGAACCTCTACTTCAGAGAGAAGAAGTTCTCAGTGGAAGTTCACGACCCCAGGAGGTAAATCTATATCACATCTCTGAGTGTGTGTGTGTGTTTCAGCACTGTAAACAGTTTTGTATCAGAAAGTAACTCTGTAGTAGAGTTTCCATCTGCCCTGATAATATATAGGATACAAAGCTAATGTAAGTTAGTTGTGTTGATTATATGCCATTTCTGCTGGAGTTGTGAAAGTAGTGAGTATGGCATATAAAAGGAGGCTTGGATAGATTATATTTATAATATCTTAATTGTCCCCCAGTGTGAATGCTGCTAGCTGCTTTGTGTAAAGTTTAGCCAACATAAAAATCACAGAGCAGAGATGGTCATGGGTTGGTACTGTTGTACTGTTGTTAGCTGTGATGCTATATTAAAGAAACGTAGAGACATCAACAGATAAACAGTGGTGCATGTGCTTGAACAAAGTAGCTTGTGCACACACATACAGACTCAGTTTATCTTGGCGTTAAATGGAGCCTGACACAGATAGCACTGCTGACAGTCACACACACACACACACACACACTGAACTCTGTAAGTCGCTCTGGATAAGAGCGTCTGCTAAATGACTAAAATGTAAAATGTAAATGTAAACTCTGCTGTCTAGAGGAGGAAGTCACCTCTCTTTTGTTTATTTAACATCTCTACAGAGAGAGAGAGAGAGAGAGAAAGACAAGAGAAAAGGAGAGAGACAGGAAGAGAGAAGAGAGTGTCACGATCGTCAGGGAGAGACCAATGCGCAGCGTGATGAATGAACATGATTACTTTATTAAATTAAAGCACGAACAAAACAACAAACGACTCGTAACGTCCACGGTGACAAAGACCGAACACGGAACAAAAACCCACAAACACAAAGTGAAAAACAGACAGTTAAATATGGCTCCCAATCAGAGACAACCAGCCAACAGCTGACACTCGTTGCCTCTGATTGGGAGTCACTAAGGCAAACATAGAAAACAACAAACCAGAACCCCCAACATAGAAATAAACCACATAGAATGAACACACCCTGGCTCAACATATAGAGTCCCAGAGCCAGGGTGTGACAGTACCCCCCCCCTAAAGGCGCGGACTGCGACCGCGCCTCAACCAGAGAAAAATAGGGGAGGGCTGGGTGGGCACTCCTCCTCGGCGGCGGTTCTGGCTCCAGGCTTGCCCACCACCCTCCAATAAACCCCCCATAGCGCCCCTGGTCCGGTCTGGCCCCGCTGGCTGGAGCTGACCTGGACGTAGCAGGAGCGGCTAGCTTCAGCTCCGTTGGGGAGCAATAAAGCGGTACCTGATTTGGCACCGATGACCCAGGCACGGGTTGTGCCGGACTGACGACGCGCACCCCAGGCTTGGTGCGTGAGGCAGGAAAGGACCGGACCTGGCTGTCGATGCGCACCCCTGGCTTGGTGCGTGGAGCAGCAACGGGCCGGACCGGGCTGACGATACGCACCCCTGGCTTGGTGCGTGGAGCCGGAACGGGCCTCACCGGACTGATGACTCGCACCCCTGGCTTGGTGCGTGGAGCAGCAACGGGCCGGACCGGGCTGACGATGCGCACCCCTGGCTTGGTGCGTGGAGCAGCGACGGGCCGGACCGGGCAGACGATACGCACCCCTGGCTTGGTGCGTGGAGCCGGAACGGGCCTCACCTGACTGACGACTCGCACCCCTGGCTTGGTGCGTGGAGCAGCAACGGGCCGGACCGGGCTGACGAAGCGCACCGCTGACTTGGTGCGGGGAGCAGGAACGGGCCGAGCCGGGCTGACGAAGCGCACCACTGACTTGGTGCGGGGAGCAGGAACAGACCGGACCGTACTGGGGACACACACCACTGGCCCTACATCGGGATCTGGAACGGGCCGGACCGGACTGGTAACACACCCCAGTACCTCTCGCCGTGCCTCTCCACCTTCCATCCCCTCTTCGACCAGTGGCCCCCGTAACCTGGCGGCCTCCTCTGCTAACCCGCTGGACGGCTCTATCGCGGCCTCCTGCTGCCCCGACGTCGTGAGCCCCCCCCCTAAACATTTTCTGGGGGTCTCTCCTCCCCGTGGGCCAGGCCTCTATCGTTCTCGCCCAACTCTCCCTCTTCTGCCCCCAATTCCAGCAATTCTGCTCTTCATTAGGCTTGACCCAGTCTAGACTCTTCCTCCACTGTTCCCAAGTCCATCCACTCTGCTCTTTACAAGGCTGGACCCAGTCGAGGTTGCCACGGAGATCTGCAAGCGATTCCCCTGGCGATGGCTCCTGGACACGCTGCTTGGTCCAGTTTTGGTGGGTTTTTCTGTCACGATCGTCAGGGAGAGACCAATGCGCAGCGTGATGAATGAACATGATTACTTTATTAAATTAAAGCACGAACAAAACAACAAACGACTCGTAACGTCCACGGTGACAAAGACCGAACACGGAACAAAAACCCACAAACACAAAGTGAAAAACAGACAGTTAAATATGGCTCCCAATCAGAGACAACCAGCCAACAGCTGACACTCGTTGCCTCTGATTGGGAGTCACTAAGGCAAACATAGAAAACAACAAACCAGAACCCCCAACATAGAAATAAACCACATAGAATGAACACACCCTGGCTCAACATATAGAGTCCCAGAGCCAGGGTGTGACAGAGAGAGAGCTGTTTTATAGGAGGCAGTAGTTAGCGTGAGCTGGTCTGTAGATACAGCTATCTTTCTGTCTAAACTCTGAAGAGTAAATCATGTCATGAGAGGCAATGTGTGTGGTACTGATAAACATCACTACTAGACATACTCTCTCTCTTTCTAGAATAAGTGTGTTATGCCTTGCGTCTGGCCACCCGGACTATTTACATTGAACCCCCCCCCCTGCTACTCGCTAATTCTATTTCTTGAACTGCATTGTTGGTTAAGGGCTCGTAAATTGTTGTATTCGGCGCATGTGACTAATAACATTTGATTTGCTATAGGCCACTGGGTGTATGTGTACGTGCGCGTGTGCGTGTTCTTTCATTTACTGTGTGTTTGTGTTGTGTGTATTCAGTGTGTATAAGGAGGCCTTGTGTCCGTCTCTACTGTAGGGCGTCGGTGACCAGAAGGACGTTTGGCCACAGTGGTATAGCTGTCCACACCTGGTACGCCTGCCCTGCTCTCATTAAGTCTATCTGGGCCATGGCCATCAGCCAACACCAGTTCTACCTTGACCGCAAGCAGAGCAAGGTAACACATAGAATCACTGGGTGGTTCTAGAATGAGTCTGAGGTTTTAGAATGTTTGTGAGGTTCTAGAATGAGTATGGGGTTCTAGAATGCGTGTGAGATTCTAGAATGACTGTGAGGTTCTAGAATGAGTATGGGGTTCTAGAATGAATATGGGGTTCTAGAATGAGTGTTAGAGACTAGAGTGTGTGGAGTTCTAGAGTGTTCTAGACCATAGCAGTAGAAACAAGAAGAAATACAGTATTTTGTAAAGATCTAATATCTCTGTGTGTGTGTGTCCAGTCTAAGATCCATGCGGCTCGTAGTCTCAGTGAGATAGCCATCGACCTGACAGAGACTGGCACTCTGAAGACATCTAAACTGGCCAACATGGGCAGCAAGGGCAAGATCATCTGTGGCAGCTCCGGCAGTCTGCTCTCCTCAGGTAAGTCTCTCTGTGTGTGGCTGTTTTTGCATGTGTGTCTGTGGCCAGCAGTACCCTTACCCTACTCTCCACCCCATAATGTTGAGGCCCCTGCCTCTATATGTAGTGGTGTAGAGGAGAGGGGGATAGAGGGAAGAGAGGAGAAGAGAGGGATGAAAGGGAGGGTGGGCAGCTTTGTCCTGGTCTCTGGAATAATGCCTCTCTGTGTAGAGGGAGGGAATGTGGTTAGAAAGAGATCTGTGAGAGGAGACAGTGGTAACTCCCCCCTCCCCCCCACCCCCCTTTCTCCCCCTTCATCCCTTATCTAGGCCAGGGCAGGGGTCTGTGGGAACCGAGTTAGAGAGGACAGGGCTGTGAATCTACCTTTAAACTTCAGGACAGAAACCCTTGATGTTTTTCCCAAAGGCCGTTTCCACCAACATGGTGGAAGTGTGAAAGGCACAGGCAAGATCAAATAATATTGACTAAAAGTGCTAGTAGTTGAGTGAGAGAGAAAAGAGCGATACACACATACTGGCAACTGTGTGTGTTCAAGGTCAGCTATTTCCACACACAGCTGACACCTTATGAAATGAATTAGGAGAGACCGGGGTTGGTTGTCACACCTTTTACTCTTGTGTGTATTTCTCAGCACCAGTATATCTTACAAGACTCTTTTCAATATCAGGAGAAAGACCAAGGTCTTGGGTATCTTATTCCAACATGGAGTTATTAGCCATCAAACACACTCTGTCCACTTGTGACAACCAGCCCCATCGCGGGGTTGGAAGTCACACAGTATGGGGTTGGTTGTCACAATGTAACTTATTCCTTTTGCAATAGGAAATTAAGCAATATAGCAAACAGAGTCTTAGAAATAGCCAAGACTTTCTTTGATCGAACGATATTCCTAACTAAATTCATAATTTTATACCTTGAGAATATCATATTACATTTTGAGTAAATGTGTGTGTGTATGCGTGTGTTTGCACATGCATGTGTGCGTGTGGATGTGTGTGTGTGTGACATAAAAAAATATGTGTGTGAGAGAGAGGCAACGAAGGGAGCTCTTTATAACACAAGCACGAAAGAGCTTGGGATTTATTGTACTGTATATTGACAGTGACATTGTAGATAGTGACAACCAACCCCCCTACATTCCATGTGACCCCCCTTCCCCCCAATGCTAATTAAGATGCTAGTTACCACATGGCTTGACCTAGGAACTTGGTTTGAAATATAGCTCTCCCTTTCCTATTTTCAACAAACATAATTGTTCATGGATCTCCCATAATTCAAACATTTACAAAGAAAATACCAATACATGTTTTTCTTTACTTTCGCCTACGAAAAACACATACATTCCCCTCACCTCAATGTTCTGTCATGCTGACCAGGTGGATGAGTTCTTCATTTAGATTGGTGATCACTGTGACAGCTAACCCTGGTCTCCCTAACTGTGTTCAGAGGGAGTAGTCTTTGTCCTTTCTAATGTCCTGATCTCTTAACTTTATTTCTCCTGTCCCATTTTTCTCTGGATCTGCCTCTCTCTTTCTCCCTCACTTTGTGTCTTGCTGTTTCTCAGCTACAGTATCTCCATATAACTCTTCTCTCTCTTTTGCCCTCACTCCCTCTAACCCTCTCCATTCAGTGTTTTTATCCCTGCTCTAACACACACACACACACTATATCTAATACAAACACACACTCACTCACTTACATATTCCTACTCACACAGTCTGTTCTCGCTCTCACCTTCGTCTCCAAGCAAGCGTACATGTGTTCGTGTGCGTGTGTGTCTTGGATTGTATGCATTGAAACAGATCCAGTGGTAAAGTATAAGGAAACCGCCAGGCAAGCAGAAAGATGTCTCAGGTTTTCACTAGTCAAACCTTGTTACCTCAGAACACAGACAGACACACACACACACACACACACACACACACACACACACACACACACACAAACACACACACAGAGGTAGAGATTGTTAGTGAGAGGGATTCCTCCAGGCTTAGGTAGTCTGTGTGTGTGTGTGTGTGTGTGTGTGTTAAAGGGACAATGTGTGATTCTGGCACTTCCCCATAGTCAGATAAACTTGTGGATACCATTTTTATGTCTCTATGTGCAGTATGAAGGAAGTTAGAAGTAGATTCGCAAGCCAATCCTTACTAGCATTAGCGCAATGACTGGAAGTCTACAGGTACAGTAGCATACGTAGACTTCCATCTGATGACACGCTGCTGTGCCTACCATCGGTCATCTCTGCCTGGCATCAGAATGATTGTCACTGAGTAGTGATGTCATCTTAATACGTCTCCCTCACATTCTCTCTACAGTTTTCAGCAGTGTAGACATTCTGTATTCATTTCTCTACAGTGCAGTGTGACAGTACTGGTTCACATCTTAACTCCTAACCCTAGACCAGGGGTGGCTAACTTTCCTCCTGGAGAGCTATTGGGTATGCAGCCCTGCTCTAACATAGTTCATACAACGATTAGTATAGCTGTTTATCATTATTATAAAATACAGTGTTTACTCCAGTATGTTGTCCACAATGGAGTGTTTGGTCACAGGGTGAACATTGAACCACAGGATGACTGTTGTTAGGGTAGTTGAGCAGTGACAGGGTGTGTGTGTGTGTGTGTGTGTGTGTGTGTGTGTGTGTGTGTGTGTGTGTGTGTGTGTGTGTGTGTGTGTGTGTGTGTTTGATGGAGATGGAGAGGCTGGCACGATGTTGTGCCTGCAGGGTCCGAGACTGTGCGTCACAAACAGTGTCCTCGGCTGCTCCATCCCACTCACACACAAACACACACACATACACATGCACACACCCTCCCCAGCACACACAGTCTTAGACCTCCTTATCGAAGTGTTCCACTCACTTCCCTGTACACATCCTGTGTTGTCGACAGGTGCCTTCACCCCTCCCCCGTCCCCCACCCTCTCCTTGTTTCTCTCTCTCTCTGGAGGTCTGGGTCAGATAATGCCATTGTGTTGGGCTCCAGTGTTGTAAGTGCTGTATTTGGGTGTGTGTGCATATGTGCCCCACACAGTAACGTTACATTAAGCTTGTTTCTTACAGGGTTTTACGGTCTGGTCCATGTTTAGTGCTAAGTTCTTAGTCTGTTATCTGTGTGTGTTCTGATTGTATCTCTGTTCTGTGTGTGTAGGTTCCCAGGAGTCGGACAGTTCTCAGACAGCTAAGAAGGACATGCTTGCAGCACTAAGGGCAAGACAGGAGGCTCTGGAGGAGACACTCAAACAGAGACTAGAGGAACTCAAGAACATCTGTATCAGAGAGGCGGTAAGACACACACACACATGCACGTGCGCACAAACACACACACAAACAAACACATAAACTACATGTATACACACACACACTCACACACACAGACACACACACATCAATGATTAATGATCAATATCATTTATTTCTCTCCCTCTCTCTCGCTCTCTTTCTCCCTCTCTCTCTCTCTAGGAGTTGACAGGGAAGCTTCCTAAGGAGTATCCATTAGATCCAGGGGAGGAGCCTCCGACGGTCAGGAGGAAGATTGGCACCGCCATCAAACTGGACGAACACAAGATCAAGCTGAAAAGAGAGGTCAGAGAATACACTCAAACCGTTACTTCCCTAAGTCCACATGAGAGCCAACTGTTTCCAGTATTTCCATTCAGTTCTAGTAAATGGGAGGAGTTCTATTTGTCTCCCAGTATAGATAACCTTCCTTGTGAACCTGGAGTTATTTAATAGATATGGTTAAGACTTGGGGATGGAGAACTTATCCTAGATTATTGGTTGAAACAGAAGAGTAACTGGGGCAGTGGCTAAACCAGCAGTCTGAAACGTCTTAGATCTGGTTTGAAGTCATCCTCAATCCCTCTTTCTCACTGTTCTTCTATTTGTGCCTTAATATATTTTCCACTGCTACAGGGCTGACTAAAAATAGCCTGTCTGTTCCTTACCACAGGAAGCGGTTATAGTGCGAGAGAGAGAAAGAAAGTGCGTGCAAGCGAGCGTACATGTGTTTGTGTGCATGCATTCATGCGTGTTTGTGTGTCTTGGATTGTATGCATTGAAACGGATCCAGTGGTAAAGTATTAGGAAACCGCCAGGCAAGCAGAAAGATGTCTCAGGTTTTACTCTAGTCAAACCTTGTTACCTCAGAACACAGACACACACACACAAACACACACACACAAAGGTTATTCTGGCAGTGGGATGTAGAGATTGTTAGTGAGAGGGATTCCTCCAGGCTTAGGTAGTCTTGGGAGATGTTGACCTAACTCAATACATCACCACTCTCTCTCCTCAGGGAAGTGTGTGTGCGTGTGTGTGTGTGTGTGTGTGTGTGTGCCTGCGTGCATGTGTGAAACAGGCCTACTGTTCTGTTTTTGTGAGGTGAGGGTTAGAGGGGAGTGGGGGGGGGGGGTGTTTTGGGGGGAATGGGGTCTCGGAGGAGGCTATGCAAGGCTAGTGGAGGGGGGTGGAGGTTAGGGGGGAGGGTTAGGGGGAGCTGGGGGTGTTTTAGGGGTTCTCATGGGAGGCGAGGCAGGGCTGGGAAAGAAAGAAAGGGGGAGGAAGGAAGATAGATGATTTCCTCCTTGTGTTTTTCCAGGCCTGGGAACATGCTTTAGGTTACTACTGATGGATGTGGACAAGAGTCACTGATGTCTGAGTGTGTGTCTGAGTGTGTGTGTCATCGCTTGTGTGTGTTTGTTTCCCTTTGTGCACACAGTTATGTGTTTGTGTGTACATGTGTGTCACACTTCCTAACCCTTGCATCTCTCTCTTTGTCTGTCTCTCTTTCTCTCTGTCTGTCTCTCTGTCTGTCTGTCTCTCTGTCTGTCTCTCTCTCTGTCTGTATGTCTCTCTCTCTCTCTCTCTCACACCAGGAGGAGGAGCTAGAGCGTCTAGAGAGGGAGTTTGCCATCCAATCACAGATCACGGAGGCTGCGAGGCGATTGGCCGGCGATCCACACATGAGCAGTAAGAAGCTGAAAAAACAGAGGAAGACGTCGTACCTGAACGCACTGAAGAAACTCCAGGAGATAGAGAACGCCATCAACGAACACCGTGTCCGCTTTGGGAAGAAACCTACGCAACGCGCTTCGCTTATCATAGAGGGTGAGACTACACACATGCTGAGAGAATCGCTTATAAGAACCACATCGCGTAATAAACAGGGTGAGACCAGGCACACACACACAACATCACAAATTCACATACACTATACACACACACTCAAATACACACACAGACACATGGCAAGAAGTGCTCATAAACATTCATTTAAACACACCTACCTAACCCCAACCAATGCCATAGTAAAAGTGTTTTCCTCTGTTCTTCTCTCCCACAGAGGCCAACATCGGCTCAGAGGACAGCTCTCTGTCGGACGCTCTGGTCCTAGATGACGGTATGTTTATCTCTCTCTCTCTTTCTCACACTCTCTGTCTCTGTGAACCTTGCACTAGAAGGTGTCATCAGCAACCTTCTAATGGGGTCTAATCAGTGTTCAATCAATCTAACCAATCCCTCCCTCCCTCTTTCTCTCTCTCTATCAGATGACCCCCAGGCGACAGGGACCCCCACCTTCTCTCCGGCAGCGTCCCCACAAAAGGGCCTCCCTCCCCGGCCTCCCTCCCACAGCCGGCCCCCTCCCCCCCAGTCTCTAGAAGGCCTTAGGCACCTGCACTACTCCCGCTCCGAATACGACAAGTCCCCCATCAAACCCAAGATGTGGAGCGAGTCCTCGCTGGACGAACCCTACGAGAGGGTAAAAAAACGCTCCTCACATACCAGGTGAGAGGTCAACTCTGTTGCCATGATGATAGATCTATACTGGGGTCGTGGGACATGTGATAGTTGGTTTAACGATAGTAGAATGATTAGAAGATAGCAATAGTAATGTTAAGGTTTTCTAAGTGCTCTCTCTCTCCCTGGCCAGTCACAGGCGGTTCCCCAGCTCTGGTACTTGTGCGGAGGCAGGAGGCAGTAACTCTCTGCAGAGTAGCCCCATCAGGAGCCTTCCTCACTGGAGCTCCCAGTCCAGCATGCCCTCTACCCCTGACCTGAGGACCAGGACCCCTCAATATGTACACTCCACCAGGTAACCGCCAGATAACTTCGGAGTAACCTTCAGACAGCCACCACACTACGGTCACCTCACTAGGTCAAAGCCACAACTATACGGTAAACTCTCTATCTCCTTCCCTCCATCTCTCCCTCCTTTCACCAGGTCTGTGGACATCAGTCCCACCCGTCTGCACAGTCTGGTTCAGCACTTTAGGACCCGCAGCTCCAGCCTGGAATCTCAGGGCAAGCTGATGGCGTCCGACCCTGACACACACACTCGCACAGACACCTTGGGAGCCCTGGGCAGCCCAGACTTCTTCCTGGCCCCAGGGACACGCAGCTCCAACGGCTCGGACCCGCTGGATGACTGTTCGTCCTGTACCTCCCAGAGCAGCTCAGAACACTACTACCCTGGGGGAGCCCCAGGCTCCAACCCCAACTACTCCACCCTTGGAGAAGACTCCCCCTCCAAAGCCAGGCAAAGACAGAGGCAGAGGCACAGGTTAGTACAGCAGAGCTGGGTGTGTCCGGGGATTTACTTTGGGCTTGTTCAGCAATCCTTGGAAGAGCTCTGTGACATACATCACTTCTATGTTTAATGTGTATATCCTCTCTCTCTCCAGGTCTGCAGGTCACCTTGGTTCCTCTAACTCTGGCTCCATGCCCAACTTGGCAGCCAAGAATGGTTCAGGGGGTGGTGGTATGGGGGGAGCAGGGACTGGGTCAGGGCAGCACGGGGTGTACCTCCACAGCCAGAGCCAGCCCTCATCCCAGTACCGGATTAAAGAGTACCCCCTGTACGTAGAGGGCAGCCCCAACCCGGTGGTGGTGCGCAGCCTGGAGAGTGACCAGGAGGGCCACTACAGCGTCAAGGCCCAGTTCAAAACCTCCAGCTCCTACACAGCTGGGGGGCTCTACAAGGAGACCTGGGGGGGTGAGGAGGGGGGAGAGGGGAGCGGCAGACTCACCCCGTCCCGCTCCCAGATTGTACGGACTCCCTCGCTAGGGCGAGAGGGGGGAGGAGGGGGAGGAGGGGGGAGGGCGGTGGTTTCGGATGAGCTGAGGTGTTGGTACCAGCGCTCATCTGGCAGTCTAAAGGAGAGGAGTCACTGTGGCTCCAATGCGTCGGACAGCGGCTCGTTGCAAGGCACGCTGGGACATGGACGAGGCAACAGGGTGGGGACGCTCGCCAAGGGATCGCCAGGTGGGTGGCAACACACCACACACACATCACCCTCAGCGGGGTCGCAACATCCAGATGCATCCGATTTTCAGGGGAAATGGAAAGAGAGCCTTTGACACGACTTCCACTTTTGGACGTTAACAATGCGATACGGCCTCATAACTCCTCCTCCACCTTTTCTAGATTGGTTGACTAGTGCAGCAGAGACCCTCGCCCGACAGTTTTTATTTTATTTCATGCCTGCTACGTTAAGTTACACACACATAGTTTATGTTCTAAGCTAAGTTTTGAGTTTTGACTGGGTTTGCTTAGGCAGTGCTAAGGATAGATGTTACATTTTCTATTATTTACAGAATAATAATCTCAGTGAGAGAAAGAAAACATGCCATGCCCCGTGTGAGGCTCGAACTCACGACCTTCAGATTATGAGACTGACGCGCTGCCTACTGCGCCAACGAGGCCTGTGTGTGCAGGAGAGGGGCCTATGTTAAGGAGAGTGTGTGTAAAGCGATCCCTGAACTAAATGGAGCCTGTTTGTCACAGTGGTCACACCCCCACTTTAAGACCCCTATCTGGGGCATAGCTGGGATTCCACAGCCCCTGACCACCTTTGTCTTTGAATGTGTGTGTGTGTGTGTGAATAACTGTGTGTAACTGTGTATAACTGTGTGTCTCTCTGTACAGCAGCGTCCCCTCACAGCCAGAGGAGTGTGACTCCATCCAGTGAACAGGCCGCCACCCCCACACCCCCCTGCAGCCCACAACACCTCCTCAACTGGCAGAGCGGGTAAAACATACATACACGACACACACCACACAAACTGCACAGACACAAACTACATACACACACACACACACACACACTCACACATACACACACCAATAAATAATTGGCAGAGTGAGTTATAACGTGTTTGGGGATGAAGACCAGGCACTCAGGATCCTACTCCTATTGGACCTTTAACCCTGGGTTAAAGGGTAAAGGTTAGAGGCTCTGGCTCCTGTATTACAATTCACTGGACAGAATCTGCATGATATCAAAGCATCTTCAGCTCCGCTTCTCTTTATACCCTCTATAACCTCTGCCTAACCTCCAACCTACACACATCCTTTGCCCTTCTGCAGCACGGTACTCTGTCTATGTACTGATCACACGGCTGTCTTGTCTTCCTAAAGGACTCTAACTCTCAACCTCACACTAAATACGCCAGAGTCATTTGTTAACTTCTCTCTCCTCTCTTTCTCTTTTGCTCTTCTCTCTTTTTCCTTCTCATTCCGTCCCTGTTCATCTCTCTTCCTCTCTGTCTGTACTAACCTCTCTGCTGTCTGTCTGTCTGTCTGTGTGTTTCCTGGTTTAGCGGTACAGCAGACAGCTCTCCTACTGAAGACGTGTGTCAGTCTCCCCCTCAGCCCAGCTCTGAAGCATAGAGGTACTGTCTGTCTGCCAGGACTCTGCCAGAACACAGACCTAGAAACACAACAGATAGATTAGAGAACAACAGAACAACAATCTAGAACCATAGACCATAGAACCAATCCTGTCTGGACACGTAGAAACACACCCCATAGAATGAGTCCTGACACATAGACATATAAACCTGAACTAGATCAGGGATGTAGAAATAGATCCGCTTGAATAGATATGTAGAAACAGAACCTGAACTAGATCAGGGGTGTAGATATAGAATCCCTTGTCTAGATTCTTAGTATCGTACCAACTGCTGAATTCAATAGTCTTCCCATTTCTAATCCATTCTAAAAGCAGGTTTGGGAATGGTGTCTGTTCTATCTGCTCTGTTTCTATGGCTGTAACTGGACTCTTTATGTCTGCTGTGTGTGGCTGTCCCTGTTTCTGCCTGTAGCTGCTCTCTACAGTAAACCCTCACCCTCACTACTGTACACTCTTAGAAAAAAGGCTGTCCCCATAGGATAATTATTTTTGGTTCCAGGTAGAACTATTTTGGGTTCCATGTAGAACCCTCTGTGGAAAAGGTTCTACCTGGAACCAAAAAGGGTTCTTCAAAGGGTTCTCCTATGGGGATAGCCGAAGAACCCTTTTAGGTTCTAGATAGCACCTTTTTTTCTAACAGTACTGTGGGGCTGACTCCATTTAGTCGACTGGTCGATTGTTTGGTCGATAGGCTGTTGGTCGACCGAGATTTATTTAGTTGAGCAGTAGCAAAACATTTATAAAAAATAAATTGTGGGGTACAAGACACCTATCTGATTCACGCCTGTCTGAGTACACTGATCCATTGTGGAGGCCGTGGGGATGGCACAGTCCATCAGTCTAAGACGTGGTACTGAAATTGTATATGGTTATATTATGTAAGAACAATGTTGAAACACAAATAAAAATAATATTCATCAGACCAGAGAATCTTGTTTCTCATGGTCTGAGAGTCCTTTAGGTGCCTTTTGGCAAACTCCAAACGCGGGCTGTCATGTGCCTTTTACTGAGGAGTGGCTTCCATCTGGCCACTCTACCATAAAGGCCTGATTGGTGAAGTGCTGCAGAGATGGTTGTCCTTCTGGAAGGTTCTCCCATCTCCACAGAGGAACTCTGGAGCTCTGTCAGAGTGATCATCGGGTTCTTGGTCACCTCCCTGACCAAGGCCCTTCTCCCCCGATTGCTCAGTTTGGCCAGGCGGCCAGCTCTAGGAAGAGTGTTGGTGGTTCCAAACTTCTTCCATTTATAAATGATGGAGGCAACTGTGTTCTTGGGGACCTTCAATGCTGCAGACATATTTTGGTACCCTTCCCCAGATCTGTGCCTCGACACAATCCTGTCTCTGAGCTCTACAGACAACTCCTTCGAGCTTGGTTTTTGCTCTGACATGCACTGTCAACTGTGGGACCTTATATAGACAGGTGTGTGCCTTTCCAAATCATGTCCAATCAATTGAATTGACCACAGGTGGACTCCAATGAAGTTGTAGAAACATCTCAAGGATGATCAATGGAAACAGGATGCACCTGAGCTCAATTTCTAGTCTCATAGCAAAGGGACTGAATACTGATGTAAATAAGATATTTCTGTTTTTAATTTTATATAAATGTGCACACATTTCTAATAAGGCTGTAACATAACAAAATGTGGAAAATGGGAAGGGGTCTGAATACTTTCCGAATGCACTGTATATTTACAAAAATAAGACAGATCCTGCTTCTGTTGCCTGTTTGAGTGTTTGTTTAATAGCCTACTGATTCCGTGCACTCCAAGCCAATTTCACAAATTCGGCTGTTTTCAATCTTTGCTATGCTGTAATAAAGGCTTTAATAAAAAAAATCGTTATACCAGCCTCTCTGGTATTATTTATAATTATTTAGTGTTGTTACACTGGTCCAAAATTGTCCAATAATAATAATAATAACCCTCCTTTTTCCTTGATCTCCTTCTTATTGTTATTATTACTATTATTATTATGATCATCATTATAATAATAGGTAATATCATTATCATTAGAGGCTTAGTATAGCGTCCTTGTATAACCACCATCGAGCTGTAGGCCTAAGAGCGCCTGTTTAGTCTTAATACCGTAACTTAGTTAGGCCTATATTTCAATACTTATATAGGCTACTTTATCAATCAATAATTTATTAGTTCATGTCATCACACAGTATACGATTCATTCATGATTTTAAATACAATCAAGCATTTTAGTTTAAAAATATAATAACAAAGCAACCATTGAATAATTAGCGTAAAGAATAAATAGGCCTAAACCATTCCATTTCGGAAATTGCATTCACGAATGAATGAGACTATATTTAGTCTTTGCTGTAATAAAGGCTTAAAAAAAAAAAAAAAAAAAAAAAAAACATTACAAGACTCTCTGGTACGCTTATAATTTATTTTGTGTTGTTTACATTGTTCCAAACTAAAAATGATATTGTAATCTAACAGCACCTGTTTGGCACACATAATATGCATGCAGCTCTTGCTCCTTACCTTATTTTTCTTGATCTCCAGTATTTTCCACAACTAGTCAAATTTATTCCACATATCCAACTTCCCCTTTACCTCCTGACCAACCAGTAAACATTACCCCATTTCAAGTTTATTTGTCACGTCCACTGCATCCATTTTGCTGTCACATGTGTTAAGGTGTTCAGAGTTCGTTATAACCAGTTTATTGATGTGATTATGATATGCTATAGGTCAGGCCCTATTGGTCACGTGCATGCGATGAATACATGTGTCATGTAAAGAGAGCAAGGGTTAAGGGAATAGGGAATGTTTTTCCTAAACAAATTAGGGATTTCGGTAACATAACTTTTCAGTCAGAAATGGCTGTAATTATATTGCAGCTTCAGCAACACGGACAGCGCAATACACACTGTTGATGTTCTGTGGGGAGGAGAGAGAGACAACGGGTGCTAGTCACACAGTCACTCGCTGTCTTTTTTTTTTAACACAGCGCAGCAGGTCTGAGCCAGGCGGCACAATCAACTCAATTGCGGTCGGACTCCCTCTAGTCATTTGTGTTTCTTAATTATTTCATCAAACAGTTCGCTTAAAGCATCAGATAAGCTAAGTGCATATAGTTGATTTGATTAAAACACAATAGGATGTGTCTATATATGGAAAAATACATGTTTTAACATTTCTACCAATCAATTGGTCGAAAGAACAGACAACTCTTGGTCGACCATTATATTTTTTAGTCGGGGACAGCCCTAGTGTACTGTACTACCATCTCTGATTGAACTTGAACTTATTCAACTAAATAGCTTTTTTCACTGTTGACTTCTCCGTGACGTGTGCTGTCATTCAGTCCATCTCAATGATAGTAAAGCAGCAGCCACAGGGAGTATCCACCATAATACAAGTTAATTCATTATAAAACCATGAAGGGGAGTGAACAAATTAGCTCTAGTCACCTAGTGTTGTTTTAGACTAGTACACTAACAGGACGTGTGAGCTGCCATAGAGACAGAGATATAGGAGGATTGAGAGATCAGTTTGAAATGAGGCTGTAAAAGAGGTAAATGGCATCATGGATTGTGCACCTTGTTTTCACAAAAGCTTTAGGTCTAGGCAAATTAAGTAACCATCAAAGCAATGAGAGACCGAAACACCATCTCTCTCTCTCTCTCTCTCTCTCTCTCTGCAGGTCATTCAATGATAGCTGTTTCCTCAGCAGTCCTCTGTGTTCAGAGCTGGCAGATGTCCAGTGGTACGGACATGACAAGGCCAAACCTGGAACCCTGGTCTGAGCTACTGACCACCACCCAACACCCACTGACCCTCAACACTGATCCTTACTGACACAACATCCAACATCTCAACTGACCCTTACAGCCCCCACCAACCTCTCCTCCAGTGCTGACTAGACTGGCCTTATATTGGACAGGAAACCCTCATCCATTCTTCCCTTCATCCATCTTTCCCTATCAGTTTCTGTGCATATCGGGCTTGGCTGAGCTGGGGGTTCTAGGACGGTCACGACCAACTGGGCTGGACTATTGCTGTGGAACAGCCAACCTTAGCCTCTGAACGATCCTGAACTCTGAGTGTGAACTCTGACCTTTAATCCCTGACCCTGAGTCTGCTCCAGTCTCAGCTCCAGGATAACCAGGAATGGGCAAGGGGGGAGGAGGGGTAAGAGCACACACACAACAACCCCAGCCCAGACTACACTCAGCCCACCTGGCCCTGACTCATATCTACCCCTGACCCCAGTGTGCTGCCAGCCAATCAGAGGATACCTGAAGGATTAAAGCTCTTCCCATGTGTTTTGGCTCATGTTCTGGACCTGTGTGTGTGTACGCTGGATCTGCTAGGTTCATTTCATTTTTGATGTTTTTGTTTATTTCTCTCTGTATCGTTTTATACAACAACAACAAAAAATGCTGGAGAGAGACTATTCCCCCCTCGTTAAGAAAACCTTCAGAATACTTTTCACTCTTTAGGAAAACTGCAGATTGGATTATTGGAGAATTCTAGATTTTCTGAAAGACAAAAATACAAACATTCCCAAAAATCCTAATCCCAATCCCAACTCCTATCCCACAACCAAAGATCCATCTGACTGACCAATGGCACCAGTCCCATGGACACACTGGGGAAAATGGTTTATCATACTGGGAGTTACACCCCACCATACTGGGAGTCCTCAAAGGAACTGAAAGACTGGTCAATTCTACTGGGAACCTGCTCAGCACGTCTACTGGAATGTCAGTCATCTGAACTGTACAATTGCCAGCCACACTGATCAACTAGTTTATTGTACTGGGATGATCCACACTTCTACTGAGCAGTGAGCTCCTGGACTGGGATGTTTTGCCACTATACTGGGGGATTGTGCTCAGCTGTATTGGGAGACTATGAACAGACTGGGGCCCCTGCACAGCCAGACCAGAGATAGACAGGGACAGACTGTTAGCCACAGGCCACAGACACTTATTCAAGGTTTGGGACCTGAAGGGCCAAGCCACAATATGCAAGGAATCTCTCACTGAAAGCCAATGTCTTGAGTTTGTGATGGGTGAAACTGTAGCTATATGTGTAGCAGTTTTGGGGTGAAATGGAGTTAAGACCACATATAGTTTTGGGTGTTTATTTCCAATCATATCTGCAGGCTTTCGGTGGTCTATTTCATCTGGCTCCACCCCTTCGTTTGACTTCCTGGTGAGAGGTAAAAGCTGACTGGATGTTTAGGACTCCCACTCCCAGTCCTCTCTCTCTCTGGTTATGGCTGTATGCTGCGGAGCTGATCAATCACACTGCTGTAGCGAAGGGCACAACCCTCCCGCACAGTCGAGCTGCGCAGATGATGAGATTGGTGAGATGTTAAACACTTCTCCAGGCATTGTGATATCTGACTGTGCGCATTCCTCTGTTAAAAAACGGGAAGCAACCCATGTTTAAGGACCAGTCTATCTCTGTGTGACGTCGATCTGTCTGTCTGTCCAACTTCACGATTGGTCATTGTCTCAGACACCAGGGTAGTATATTTGAGGGTAAACATTTAGATCAGGCATGAGGCCTGTAAACTCCAGAGGTACTCGTTTGTACAGGTCACTATCTCAGGCTATACTCTCTCTGCCTAACGTCTCTCCTATCACCAGTCAGAACACACACATCTTGTTTCTGGACACACACACACACTTTTCTCATCAGTGCCATCTATGTTGGTGCTTAAAGTCTGTACTGTAACCCAGCACTGAAAACAGCCACTCACTAAAACTACAAACCATATAACTACAAATCCCACAGGGCCCAGTTCCTAGTCTAGCGGAGGAAGTGGCCGTGTTCGAGAGCATCAAAACTATGATATATCATGGGTAAATTCTGTCTGACTGACTGATCTACAAATAATAATAAGTTGTTATTTATGACGCAAGGTGATTTGTAGATCAGTCAGTTGGCAGTCGCCTGCACTGTCGGCTGCAATGTCAAACAAGCCCAGTGTGTGCTATATAGAGAACCTGCATCCCAGAGCCAAAAGAACACCAGGGAGAGGTCTATACACCAGTCAGAGAGCTGGATCTGCTATGTAGGGTTTTGACTATTGTAACTGTGTCAAGTATTCAATCTAAGTGTTGTTACCAGAGCACAACATACACAGTTACACACTATGTATGAAGACTATAGACCTACTATATACAGAACCAGTTTTCATCTAGTTCTCCTCCTGTCTTTTTGATACATAAGGGGATTAAGAACATCTGCATAACAACACATTAATGATGTAAGAGTAAATCCAGACTTGATATAAGAGTAACACACATATCTAGAATATAAAAAATGTATCCCCGGCACCAAACAGGATGTATATATCATTGTGCTTTTATTGTGCCCCGTTCAAGACAACTGGGAACTCGGAAATCTCCGACGTCAGACTTCAGTGAGTTCAAGACAACTGGGAACTCGGGAAAAAACGAGCTCCAACTGGGAAAAATGGTTTTGAACGGGCATCCAAGTCGGAAACTCGGGGATCATCCTAAAGCTCCGACTTCTCCAACCTGAAGATCACTGATGTCACGATTTGACCTTGTTTTATTCTGAGTTCCCAGTTCTCTTGAAAGTACCATTACTGTGTAGATAATGTCATCAATGAAATGTTGAACTTTGACCTTGATTTAGTAATGGAGGCCATCACCGTATCCCGCGGTAACACGGCTGTGACACAAAGAGAACATGTAGATTCCATATACCTCTCGCTTACATAGACCAACTCTTGTCACAAACAAATTCTAAAACAGGTATTTTAAAGCACACATTCTGGTGTTCTACTGTGGAAAAGAAGCCTCTGCCCAACATTGTTGTAATGCTGTATGTGTGGACAGTGTACAAACAAAACAAAGCAAAGAATTGCAGTCCCTCTCTCACGTCTGCCTGTGCTTTGTAAAGGCTTATATCCTCCCTTGAAGCTAAAAACATTGTGTAAAGGTTGCACAAAAATCTGACCCCGTCAAATTAGTTGAACTTGTACCAAGCGGCATGGTGGACTAAATTTCCTTCAGTTTGAAGTTTCACGGACACCTCTCCAGCCCTGCCACACTGCAAGGTCCTGTTAAAAATGCTGTGTTTCTTATTAACTTTGACCTCTCCTGTTGTTCACTTCTAGAACCACTGGGGAACTGCAGTCTGCCATCAGCTAGGCTAAGGCTCATTAGCCTATTTATTTCCCATGGATGAGACACCTCTGCTAGCTCACACCATTCCATGCATGCTCAAAAAACAAAATATCACCCCTCTCCACTCACCTTTTCCTCCTAGACAGAGAAGCATTCCTGTATCCATGACAACACTCCCCAACCCCAAGTTTGACTTTTGACTCCTGACCCCTCTGACCTTTGAACCCAATGTGGTGATAATGTGTGCTGTACCCTCCTCTATAGGCCCCCTATGCCCATACTGTCTGTACTCCATTGAAACATAAACATTTTTATAGTTTAAGAAAATTAACTCTTTTATCAACCTCTTTCCTGTACGTACTCTACGGAGGGGCACTGTAAGCCTAAGTGAGGTTTTTAACATAACCATGTTCCTTTTCATATGAACCAGTATTAGTTGTTTCTTTGGTTTATGTTTCTAAGTTCTGACATAGTAAGAATCATTTCAGGTGCTACATGATGACCAGTTACTGCTTTGTCACATAGGATATAGACTCTCCTCATTGTTGTCAATAGTTTTAATACCAGTTGTGCGGAGCAAAGACCATCCCTTTAGGCAGCAGTTCAGTAGGACACCCCTCCACCAGACCATAGAGCATGTAACATGATTTTATTGGTTCTCTTCAACTGTAACCTGACAAAAAAAAGGTGTTGTAGAAAAAAAACAATGTGGAATTGACAAAAAAAAATACTGAATTCCACAGTTAATTTATTCTTTTTTCTATTAAGAATTTGTATAGGAACTTTACATTTTTCAAAATCGTGTTGTTGGCAACTGATAATGAATTTTCCAGATGAGAAGACTTGGTGGTTCTTGAGATTATGAAAATAAATTATTGCTGAATGTTCTCAAGATGGTTTCCTGTCTCTTCTTCTCTGTGTAATCTGTTGTATGTTCCTAAAGGGTTAGGGGTAGCATGTCCCTCTCACACCTCAATAGCTCAAAGTGGCTTCCTCTCCACCTCTCCTTTCCTTCCTCTGCTCTGGTAACTTTGGATTGATGCAGTAAATACCTGGCTGGCATAATTGTCTTACGTCAGATAGCGTAACGATTCTGCCTGCACTGACTGATGGGTCGGTAGAGGGATGAGCATCTCGTAGGAGTGACACCACCTGTCTGAAGACAATTGGCTGGCCTGGCATGCACAATAGTGCTTGAACTTTTGTCCGAGCAAATTAAGGAGAGGAAGCCACATTCAGATGGGAAAAGAATTAGGAGTACGCCACTGAAAATAACAAACTCCTGTAGATCCCTCCACCCTGTGGTCTCCATGCTGACAGACCCAGTCTTCAGACAGACCCACTCTGGGACCCCATCTCTTTGAAACTGGGGACTGAATATCCCCTCACATCAGAGAGGCAAATTCAGGCAAGTCCAACTGTTAGCCGCCGATTCTCTTCCCCCCTGTCTACTCTCTCTTACCCTTTGACCTTTTTCTCCCACTCTCTTCCTTTTACATCTCCATTCTCTCCCCCTTCTCCCTCTCTCTCCCCCACTATACTCCCTCTCTCCTCTAATAAATCCATATTTTCTCTGCTGGTGTTCCCATAGCAGTGCTCTCAGAAACTGGTTCCTCTCCCTCACTTTATTTAGGAACCATTTAGGAATGTTGTGTATGTGTGTGTGTGTGTGACCTTGCTTTGATTAGTGGCAGTACCTGGGGACCCTCCGTCACCACTCAAAGGGACCAGAACCTCCGGTGCCAACAGCATCACACACTTGTGGTGTGTGTGTGCGTGTGTGTGTGTCTGCTCTGAGGCCCTTCATCTTGGGGCCATGACCCCTTCTGTTTAGGTAAACAGATAGAGAGAGGAGCAAGATGTGCGTGCATGCTTGTGTGTGGAACTTCATTACACTGTTCCTGAGCCTGT